TTCTTTTCATCATATGCTTAGAGTATTTATAACTACAAATGAAGACTATCAAAATCCATTACTAATAAAAAAGTGACTCTTGGATATCATTCCAAAAGAACTGATTGACACATAAAGACTAATAACAAAATGTAACTCCTATTGTATTTAGTATTTATTATTAGACATTAAAGTCATGTAAACATTCAAGCTTGTAGTGGGCTTTGCATGCTAATCCACGTCCATAACAATATGCTTTGGGTTATTACAAATGTACCATTCAAAGTTATAGTATAGTTTATAAAATATATTATAGTATAAATTCTTCTTTTATGTATAATACATTGTAGATATAAAATTTAGTATAATATAGAGATATCAAACTATGGTAATTATTTATATCATACATTAATTTTAAGTGTACATATTTGTTTGATTATAGTTATAATTATAGTATAATGTATAATATAATATAGATATAAAGTTCATTAATTATTAATACCTAAACTTCAGTATAAACTTTTTATACAATAGTTCAAAATTATATATTTAACTATACCAAATATAAGATTAGATGTTATGTGAAAAATTGAAGGGATATATATAGTTTATGATGTATGCATGTAGATACGCTTGTTGTCCTTTTATTGGGATCTTCAGTGAACCATAGAGAATAAGTAGCACAAAATTTTATATGAAACACGTCAACATAATTATAACTATACATCCTAAGGCAAATGATATGTAACAAAGTTCTTTTAGCATTAAAGGATAGAATCAGTGACTATTGCACACAAAGAGTCTTTCTCTTTGTGGAATTATCTTTTTTTCTAAACTTTTTGTCTCAATTTACCCCAAATATATAAGATGAAAAATTGTTGGCCTTTTTGTTTTGATGATGTTTAACAAATAATTTACTACTAATATTATTTGTCTAGTATTTGTATTTTTGTATTTATTATAGACAAATAATATGTTGGAGGATGGATGAAATCGAGCATTCATGATCATATCCAATGGAGGTTGGCGGAATAGTGGAGCGAAGCCTATGCAATTCAAGTTCAAGATCCAAGGTCAAGCTTCATCCATGTTACTAAGATCGAGCATCATGAAGATCTTTGCTTGGTATATTTAGTATAGGTTTATATTATGTGTGTTTGATACTCTAAGCTCAAATCATATACACACATACACGTTTTTGGTTTATATATATATATATATATATATATATATATATATGTGCTTTCCCAAGTGAACGCACTGTGAGTACGGCATTTGAGCTCAGATTGGGTTTTTTTAAAAAACCAAATAAACAGGCAGGGGATAATTCTCGTGACAAAATCCTCGGTGAACGGCTATCTTATTTCAGCCTCATCTCTCTCTCTCTCTCTCTCTCCATCTCGTCATCTCTCTCTCTCTCTTCTCTCTCAGTCCCCCCCCCCCCCCCCAAAAAAAACCCCCAAATGAGCTCCCAAATCCATTACTCTCTGGCAAATAATTTGGGCGGTCTTTCGAGCTCGACACATCCGGCCTCGCATCCCAACATACGGACCTAGTCCGCGAGATCCCCTCCTCTCCTCCTCTGTCAACATCACGTCCCAAATCGGAGGCGGGACATTCACGCAACTCCGCCTCTCTCCACATTAGACCCTGAGATACACCAAAATCACAACGCGACTTCACCAACTCCGCCTCCTGCCAACGTCAACCCAAGATCCATCCCTCCCTTCCTTCCTGCGGCCAACTGTTAACACCCGCCCCAAATCCGAGCCCCAAGAAACGCCTCAACTCAAGTAATCCTCACTGAACCCCAAACCTAATCCGCCGCCCACCCGAACTCCGCCTCCTACCCCAACTCAGCCGACTGTTGATCTCCCTCGAGCTCGTTCTCGAGATCCGCCAACTCAGGCGACTATCCCAACTATGCCACCGAAACCCTAATTTCTCCCCCCTCTCTCGACCAACCACGACCACCGCGTCTTAGACCGAACAGCCACGACCGCCACGACACCGCCGCCGAACTCCACGACTCACCCCCTCCAGCTCTCGATCTCCATCAGGCCCCAAAAACAGTGCGTTCATCAATGAAGGTGTGTTCTTCCTCACGAGCTTTTCTGATTTTCTGATATATATACACTGAAGCTTTTGCAGAACTCACCCCCTTTGTAGAGTTGCTAGTGGTTTTTTTAGTATATTAATTTTTTTGTAGTATATTAATTTTGAGCAATTCATAATCCTTCTGAGAAATACGTGCTTTCTCACATATAGGAGAATGTTTTTGATAAAATGTAATCGTGTGGACAAGCCTCTTAAAGAACAGAAAGTAGAGAACTGGTTTTTACCTCCTCTAGAGAAAACTTGTTCTTATTTTATTTCATCATCTTGTATTAATTGGGTGGAAATAGCTTTGTGGAATTCTCATGTTCATAATGAAGCATTAGAGGAATTATTGTCTATTTCTAGCTTGAACAGACATTTGGTAGATTGATCATTATAACGGCGTCATGGTTTATGCTATTCTTAATTTGTTATATATGTAATACGTGTTGGGTTTTATTATTTAATGCAGACATTTGGTAGATTGATCAGTATAATTTCTCATCCCAACCTCCGAAGGGTGGATTAATTTTGTTCTATATATGTTGCCAAACACTTTAAGTGATGATGTTCTTTCAAATTTTTTAGTTTGTGATGTGATCAACGAAGGTCATAAGTTACAGAACTCTGTTTCTTTTCTTTTTTTTTTCTTTTCAGAATGCAAATCTAGATTTGGGGGTACTTTAGACATCCCGATCTTTTATGATATTTAGATTGGAGGTAGTTGAGCCATACCCAATTTTAAATAAATTCACACCATGCTACCCACATGAGCAATTAATATAACCCACCAATGCAGTAAAATCCATTGATAAGTCATGTATACAAATATTTTCAGGTTATCCATGACAAGAAAGAGTTTTTATATTGTGAAGAGAGGTCGACGATGTGGTATTTTTTATAATTAGGAGGAATACAAATCTCAGGTAGATAAATTCTCAAATACCTCCTACAAAGGGTACGCAACGTACGAAGAGGCTTTGATTGAGTGGGAGAAGCAAACACTCACTCGTGATTCAGCATCCAGCTCGAGGCATGTCCAGGCATCTGTTTATGCTCAAGAACAAAGATATTCAGTGAGGCATAATCTGGATGAAGACAATGAAAAACTTGTGGCAACGACTAGTTTCTCCATCAATGCTTTTGTATTAGGTTAATTGTTTACAATAGTAGTGTTTTTCGTATGTATCGTTGCGGTATTTGTTGGTTTCTCCATTGAAAAAAACATGTGAACTATCAATTGCGGAGTTGATCTACCATATTATTTTATCTTTTACCTGAATTATCAATTGCGGAGTTGGTTTTGAACTATCAATCAAACAACTAAACTTTGATGCTACTGTTCGGATAAAAGAAAGAGAACTACTTATTGCAAACTCAATTTTAACTTCATCACCACAACATTTCTGGAAATTTATGGCCAAGTACATTGTAGGAAAACAGGGAACAAATTTAATAATCCAAACCTGCAAAACTCAACTTCCCAAAAGGATGGCAAAATTCCTAATTTTAAATCCCTTAATATTATAGAAATCTAAAGGACACATTATTGATCACATTGTGAAAGAAAATCACCGGAAAAATGATGCAAAAACTACAATAGATTATATTACAAAGCATATTATTTACAACGAGAAACAAGAGAGGTTATTTATGTACAATCTTCGCAATTTTTTTTATACCACAGAACAGAACTACAAATGCCACAGGTAATGAGCAGAAAAAATAGACTCCAGAAATTCTGAAATCTGCCAGAGACTAACAGAGGGCCAATCGACACTTGAGCTTATTTTGCTAAGACTCCAGAAATTCTGAAATCTGCCAGAGACTAACAGAGGGCCAATCGACACTTGAGCTTATTTTGCTATCCGAATTCAACAATCATCCAATCCCAGAGACTAACAGAGGGCCAATCGACACTTGAGCTTATTTTGCTATCCGAATTCAACAATCATCCAATATGCAGGAAGAAAGATGAGCCAAGTTAGAGCAAAGTAGCAACTCTGGAGAAATCCCAACTGCTGTCGCTATCAAAGATTAGAATATAGAATGTTATCGCTTGTTCAGTAGAATTCAGAATACAATACTCCTAAAGGTGATACTGCATTTCTTTCACCAATAACTATGTGCTGAAACATTATTATCCATTATCAGCCACAGAGAAATGATTAAGCAACCTAAGTTAAAATGATCGAATAGGAAAATCATTAAGGAAAAGTAGTGATTCAAATGCTTTTTGACAAATCAGCTGACAATAACTTTGACAACATATATAGAACAAAGTTCATTGTAATCAAGGATATGATTCAAGGCTAATATTGATATCTAGTTTAGTGAATGAGCAAAGTACATTGTACATAACCACAAAGCAACAGGCTCTTCAGCAATGTCAATGAGCAAAGTACGAAGTACATAACCACAAAGCATAAGAATACAAAAGCAACAGGCAATATTAGCAACAGGCTCTTCAAGGCTCTTCAAGGCTAATATGAGCAAAGTACATTGTACATAACCACAAAGCAACAGGCTCTTCAAGGCTAATATTGATACATCTTAGAATGTCCTGATTCAAGCTCCTGATTGTCAAACTCCTGATTCAAACAACAGATATCAATTTGAGAAACACACTCCGAATCATAAGAAGAAAAGCTCAAAGATGTAGACGAATACAAAAACAAACAATTCATGGATGTACTACAATTTATTACTACTTGGAGCATTAAACAGCAATTGGTGGTAAATGAATTGCAAGTATTTGGGGGTAAATGAATTGCAAGTATTTGGGGGTAAATGAATTGCTGTAGACGAATACAAAAACAAAAAGATTCATGGATGTACTACAATTTGAATTAAATGATACAATTCTAGTGCCAACATGTGCGTTCATGCGTTCAATATGTACTATAATGTGAAAAATAAGACAAAACCATTACCCTCTTAATCTTCAAAAAGATCCACATCTTCACTTGATGACTCATTACCCTCTTGCAAATTTGTATCACCGCATGTAGAAGACCTACATTATATTAAAATATCCATACATATATACATCAAGACGGATACTAGAATGTGAAAAATAAGACAACATAAATAATAAAAAAACTATTACTTACAGATTTGTGAGTGCCGGACAATTTCGCTTATCATGTGATTGGCCTACTTTACCACACCCGTGGCAACGTCTATCTTTTTTATTTTTTGCTCTAGTCATTGCTTTCTCTTTTTCTCCTTTCAACCTTTTGCCGCACCCTTTTGCATGCACTTGATCGGGTTCATTGAAACTATTTTCATAACTACAAGAACCATGCGCACTAGTACCATCAGTAATTATCTTACTACATATTGGATTACTTTTCTCAGTGAATCTCATTACAGCCATGTGGCTACTAAGAAATTGGTCAATTTGCTCATTAATGCTACGCAATCCATCGGTAAACATCTCCCTTGTTTCTTCACATACGAGGGACTTGTCAACTAAATCCAAAGATGATTGAATAAATTAACTCCGCATTAAAAGATAAGAATTATCAGGGGTTATCTGCATGCCTTTATCATCATGAACTGTCCCCGATTGTTAGCCCTTATGTTTTGATGATGTTTTAAAACCACCATTAACGGTACTAATGGCTTATTGAGTGCAAATGTAGTAAATTCATTTATCAAGCTTATTAGTGCCACTAATGGAGGATTGGATGGAATATACGCTACAACGATGATATCCAAAGGAGGAGGAGGCATAGTGATGAAGCAATGTTATTTCAAGAACAACAAATTCATATAAAAGCTTCATCCAAACTCAAGCTATATCAAGACTCAAAGATTGTATTCTATGTAAGGATATTAGCTAGTTTTTTATTCTCTCTCTAGTATTAGAATGTAGGCAAAGAGTTATTGAATTCACTTGAAGCTATTGGGACTCACACACACGTTTTCATACTTAAGTTTTTAAGCGTTTTTCACAAAATACTATTTTTCACAAGTATGAGGACCTATCTGCAAAATTCCTTTTCCAAACAGTTTGTTTTTAGTATTAAAAACATTTTACAAAGTTTCATAATTTTCAGAGGTCAAATAAATATTTTCTAAATATTTTAGTTTGAGTCAAAACACTCAGAAAGCGGTCGACCGGTCCGGTCGACCGCTCTCATGGCCACTCGTTAGTATTTTCCAGAGATGTCGTCGGTCGACCGGGGCGGTCGACCGAAATCTCGATTTCTCTATCGGTCGACCGCACCGGTCGACCGATGATGTCTCTGCTTGTTTTATGTTTTTCTAAAGTTGCTCGCGGTCGATCGGATTTTCCGTCGGTCGACCGAATTAATCTTTTCGGTCGACCGAACGTTCTGGCGGTCGACCAAAATTTTATTCGGTCAACCGAGAGCTTTTTCAAACGGTCGGTTGCATTGGTTACTGTGCTATCACTTAACTGTGTTTGGCACAGTCTGTGGCAATAGTCTGAATAGGAGATTGTTTTCTTAATTGGGAAGATTGGGTTGTGATTTTAAAATGATTAATCTTTTCTATTTAAACCCAGAATTCTTCTTCTTCCTGTTGCCCTAACTTCTGCTGAAAAACCAGAGAGACGCTGTCTTCTGAGAAAAATTTTCAAACTCTGTTTTCTGTGGTTTATCTCTGTGTTTCTTGTGTGAGTTCACCTCCCAGCTTCAGTACTCTTTCTCTTTGCCATAGGGACTTGTAAAGAGAGAGTCTTGCACCATTTCTACTGTTGTATGAGTGTGATCTTGTGTAGATCAACTGTGAGGGAGTGTGATATGTTGAGATCTGCTGTGTAGTGTGAGATCGTGAGGGGATCGCTGTGTAGACGAAGTTCCGGCTTCCAAACCGGGTGTGTAGTGGATTTCTCCTCGAGAGTGGGGAGCGGGGACGTAGGTTAGAGGACCGAACCTCGTTAACACATCGCGCGTCAAAGGATAACGATTCCTAACCCTATCTCTTTTACTTTGATTGCAGTAGAATTTTGTGGTTTGCTTGTTTTATCTTTTATTGCATAATTAGAGCCTCTTGACCTCCAACACTGATTTTGCAGACTTAGTCTACCTCAATAAGATGTATTTATCGGGCATTATTTCAGCATCAAATTTCATCAAATAAGAGATAATGTGAGTACATACGATTCCGACGCTTTCAAACTTTTTACAACTACAAGAAACCAAATCCAACTGCTTGTCGAAAATGATTTCGCGGACTTTGCTTGTTGCGAGCTTCTTTCTTTGAATTTCATAGACACGGCGATTGTCGGTTTCCCTAACAAACTACAACTTGTAGTTAAAGCTGTCACACACTTCAGCCTCAAACTTGTAATACATCTCATTAGTGTAAATATCAACCATTTGCTCCAAAAAGTCATGATTTATTCTAAGTTTAGGTTTCTCAATCACGTCTTTGTGATCGGCCATCAACTCCTCGTGACGTTGGCGCACTAGTCCCTTGCCAAACTATATCATAAAATCCACCAATGAATTATTCTTCGAAACAAATTTCTTGAAGAATGCATGTCCACTTTCTACTCGTTGGCTACTTGACATGTCTGCTGAGAAAATGTGATTAACATATGCAGGAATCCATCTTGACCGAAGTTCATATTGGTCTTGCAACCACTTGTTTCCTTCTAACCCACTTTTTTTAATCAAACTTTTCCATTGTAAATCAAATTCTTTAGGAGTCTCTGATTTCCAAATGCAAGCTAAGAACTCACTTTTATAAATACTATACTTCACAGCATCAATTTTCTCAGAAAACTTCATTAATATATGCCAACTACAATACCTATCAAAAGAATTAAATAAAGTGTTAAAAAGAAAGGCTATGTATATAAATATTTTTAATAATCTATACAAACTATAATAATACCTGTGAAAAGTATTTGGAAGAACATGAGGGAATGTCTTTGTCATAGCTGGGTCTTGATCAGTAATAATCATCTTCGGGGCACCACGAGGCATACTTTCCAAAAATTTATTAAATAACCATACAAAATCATCAACACTCTCATGATTCAAAAATCCACAAGCAAAAACAACTGTTTGACCATGATTATTAACCCCTATTATTGGTGCAAATATCAGACCATAGCGATTAGTGTTATAAGTAGTATCAAAGATTACAACATCACCGAAAAAATGTAAGCCCGCCTTGAACTTGCATCGGACCAAAAACAACGAATAATCTTTTGTTCCTCATCGGCCTCAATTTGAAAAGTAAATGCGGGATTCTTTCCTTGTTCCAGTTTTAAATACTCATAAAATATTTGACCATCATGTCCCTTCAAATCAGCCCGTATATCCCTTTCATGATTATACAAATCTTTTTGAGTGCACCCAATATTTTCTATACCTCCATATTGTACTCCAAGAAAACTAAATTGTTGATGCTGAGGTATATTCACCATTGATAAATGTTTAGTTAAAGACTTTGTTGCGGCTGAAACGTTACGGTGAGACCTTAAAAGATGAACCTTTGATGGTGTTGATAGCGGATGACTATTCTCCTCTTTAAAAATAGTAACAATGTATTTTCCGGAGGTTGATTTTAAAACTGTAATTTTGGCATGACAATCTTTAGCTACGCTTCTTCGACGTCTTTTATTTCCAACATCCGCGATTCTTGGAGATTTTCTTTGTTTAAAACAAACATACTCCTTCCTTCTTATTTCACCACTTCCCGGCTCTTTCTGAGTGGTCCAAGCCCTTACACTAAACTCAGCTGCTTTAGCATAAGCATTGTAGAATGTTACAACATCATCTATTGTGTTAAATTCTTGCCCTTTTTTTGGCCTTAACTCATCTGATACTTGAGGAGTATATATTGAACTATCGTCATCCAAGTTTAATTCATTTGCTTCAGTGTCCAAGTTTTCCATTTCTCATAAAAAATTTTAATTGACCTATAAAAAAATGCACTGTATATCAAATTTCTCTAATTTGAACCAAACAACAACTACTTGTTTTTGAAAATTAGAAAATCATCAAATTCTTAGGCTTCAGTTAAATTATTCTAGTCAGCCTTCAACATTCAAAACCCAGAAAATGTCACAAGCACTGTGATCACACAAATATATGAAATACTAATTCACTATTAAACATGATTTAGATAACTAGTCAGCCAAGATGTAAATGAAAAAGAAAAAGAAATTACAAAGCCTAAAACTGGTCAGCCAAGAGGAAATTTTTTTTGACAAGATCAGTTCAACCTCATGCAACTTAGTCTAGCTTGAAACCCTAAGGACAATAAATAAACTATACAAAAATAATAGATAATAGGTAAAAAAAATTGGGGCTTGATCGTTACCTGAGTTGGGAGATCTCAGATCGAGCTCAGACTTCGTAGTCGTGGCAGAGGAGGAAGGGAGGAGGGATCTTGCGGTGGTCGGAATTTACTCGAGCTCCGATTTTAGGGCTCTGATTTGGGTGGGTGACATTGACAGAGGAGGAAGGGAGGGAGGGATCTCGGGGTTCGACATTGGGCGGGAGGCAGAGTTGGTGAAGTCGCCGCTGTTGATTTCGTGATCTCGGGGGGTCCGTCGTTGGGAGGGAGGCGGAGTTGGTGAAGTCGCCGCCTCCGATTTTGGGGGGTGACGTTGACAGAGGAGGAAGGGAGGGATGGATCTCGGGGTCCGACGTTGGGATGGAGACGGAGTTGGTCGAGCTCGAGAAGGACGCGGCCAGAATTTTTGCCAGAGGTCTGGATTTGGGAGCTCCGATTTTGGGGGTTTTTTTGGGAGAGAGGGAGAGAGAGAGAGAGAGAGAGTATATATATATATACAAGTTTTGGTTTTATAGTTTTCAAGTTTATATATATGTAACTTGTTTCATGTTTATATGCTTCGATATGAATTCATCAATATCAAATTTAATTAATTCAATGAAATCATGTTTTCTTGCATAATATGTGTATTTTGATAAAGCAGTGTGTTTTTCAGTTTATAGACTTTAAAACAATAGTTCATACCTTTTATCAAGTCTATAAAGCTATACAAGAGTTTTTAAAACTTTGGTTTATGTCAAAACATTAAATTTTAAGTATATCACATTTTCATGTTTTGGACATATTTGTAAAATGATGATATTTTACAAATGGGTGATGCTTTTTAAAACCAGTTTTTGTAACATGTATATTATCATGTTTACAATTATTTCCCAAAGTTTTACATTTTTCTGATTTTATTTGCTATTTTTAAAAGAGATTTAAAAAATTAGTTTTACTATTCAAAACATGCTAATATTATGCTATCAGTCGACTGATGAAAGTGTTCAGTCGACTGAAGAAATCATCTGGAATCATCAAATATTTTTGTTTTTGTGACTGATGATCTATCAGTCGACTGATGAGTTTATCGGCTGACTGATAAGAGCTTCAGTCGACTGATGGCTGAGATTGACCTATAACGGTCATCTCATCAGTCGACTGACGGAACCCGTCAGTCGACTAATAGCCTCTAACGGCTATATTTCCAGACTTTATTTTGTTTTGGGTTTTTGGTCTTTTTGCCCTGTTTTCTCTTGGCTTTGGGGTTCCTATAAATACCCCTACATATCCTCAGTTTTATATACCGAAAAGAAAGTTTTTAAACAAGCTTAAAGGGTGTTTAAGTTTATTTTAGTGTTTGTTTCAAGTTTGGTTTTGTGAAGCAATTTTCACAAGAGCTAGAGGAGATCACCATTTGTGTTTGAGATTCAACTCTTCTCTCTCTCCCTCTTGTTATCTATAGAGAAGTTTTTCTAAACTGAATCTAGCTTTACATTTATATTGTTTGATTATCATTTTATTAAGCTAGTATTTATTTGAGTTTAGTTTGTTTTATTTAATATCTTTGTTACGCACACCCACATTGAGCTTTTAGTATTTTCATACGTAGTATATTTGGGGTTGTGAGATTGTAATTTAGAGTGTGAGCTTTCATTATGTTCTCATCCACAGTAGAGAACAAATTTATTGTATTTGTGCTTAATTTGTAAAATCACTTTGTAATACACTTGTACTCCGAGAGAAGTGTATGGTGAGAGACGGGGTCGTCCCAAGAGGAGTGGGGTAGGTGGTAATACCTAAAGGTAGGTTGTAATTCCTAATACTTGAGGGAGACACGTGTTAGAGACCAACACTTAGAGGGTGTAAAGTGGAATTGCAAGAGTGTGAGATTGTAAAGTTTTCGGTGAACTAAAAAACCAAGTATGAAGTATAAATGTTATTCGGATAAGCATAGAAAACCCGGTTGTGATAGTGGAAATCTCCTCGAGGTGAGGATCGGAGACGTAGGTCGTGGGGACCGAACTCCGTGATCATATCGTTTGTTTGCGTTTATTTATATTCGTGCTTATTGTTTATATCGCCTTGCTTACGTTAATTTTGCCCACTATCTAGTTTAGTTTGTTTACCTTTGTGATATTTGTATATTCCTTGCACATATATTATTCATATCTCTTGTGCTAAGATATATTTGTTAGTAAAGTTTTTAAATTGGTATAAATCGGATTAGATTAGCATAAACCCTATTCATCCTCCCTCTAGGGTTATTTCCTAGTGGCATTAGGGTGCTATCAAAAATAAATAAAGAGATGTGGATAAGAAATGAGTTTCTCCAATTACGACAATACACACCATACTGAAACTTCAATTTAGATAATATAAATGCATTTATCCATGCACAGAAGTACTAAAAATAAGAATGGATGGAACTAATGTCCCAACTTCATCATGAGCTCCTCCGACACCCTCCTTCTCCACGGAAACTTTCATCACCACCTCCAAATCCACATCCCCTTCCTCGATCAAATTACTTGCTACTACTTCCTTTGTCAGACCTACCATCTTCATCGAATCAACCACAATTGCCCATCGAACCCAGCTCCTCCACCTCCCTAGACATCGTCTCCGGACCCTACTACCAAAATTGCCAAGCTCGCTACAACCACCTTTATTAAATTCACCTCACCACTAATACCGAGCTTGCCTCAATGGCAGAAGCAAGTCTTCTAGTATTCGAACTCCATGTCTTCCTTCAATTTCCTTGCATTAGTAGAGCAACGAAGAGTAGCATAGGGGAAAAAGTAGAACATGGACACTTTAATCATTTGATTTGACCTAGTATTTATTATGTGAAGAGTGGTAGAGGGGGGACCTAAGAAGGAGACTATATAGGGAGTGAAATAAAATAGCTAGAAGTTGGAGGGGTTCATGATAATTTGTTGGAGGTATCAAGAGGAGCTCACTTGTCAAAGGTGTTAATACATAAATAATAATTCCTACGATATATTAAAACATCATACACTTGATAATCTAATACTATTATGATAATTGATTTAATTATTATATTAGATTTAATTTATTTAATAATCTAAAAAATAGTTATACTATAGTATAAACCTTTAACTAATATGATTTAATAAGATTGAGAGTTATGATAATAGAGTAAATTGGTTAATTTCATGAAAGATGAAGGACATTTTTGGGAAATAAAAGTTTTTCTAGTACTCCCTCTTTTAAAGGAAGAATGATATATATATTGTTGATGTATATATATATTGTTGATGTACTAGTGATCACACAGTCAGTATGTATCTAGGGTAGGATAATCTAGATGAGGTAATGGAGATTGATGAGAGGACTGCCTTCTTCTCCGACTTTATGTCTGGTTCTTGAATTGAGGAATTGAGAAATCTGCACATGTAAAAACTTGTGAGAGGATGGGGAAAGGTTCCCCTATTGTACCTCCGACGATCAAGTTAAACGATAAACTTGAGTGGAAAAAGAAGCATAACTTAAGAGTGAAATTACCCTAGAGGAAGGGGTGGGGGTGGGACTAAATAGGGTAATCAAACAATAATGTGTAACTAATGAAAATACAATGCATTCAAGACACAAAATATAATAATAAGGTAATAATTAAAAAGAGAGAGAGAGAGAGTGAGAGATAGTTAGCCAATGAAGACGACGTGTTCACGAGTGTGACGCCACTGTTTTCACACATGGCTGCAGTCCAAGATGAATTCAGAGATGTCAAACCTGTCATGCATCCACACTGTGCAACAACAAGTTTTACCAATCACAACAATATCCTCTAGTGGAATCAAAATAAAGTGCACGTACAAAACAGACAAAAGAAAAAAATAACTATAATAGACATGATATAGAAAAAAGTATCTCATAAATAAATCATATCTCAATGAACAACCTGGAACACATCTGATACCCAAAATGAATAAATATGTCTCGACAAGAAACAACTAAAAATCGTACTAAGGCACACTGCCTTTATACTATGAAATAAACTCTAAGGCCTGAACAAAAATATAAACTATTGTGGAGCCTCTAATAAATCTCATGTGACAGCAATTATGCAAGAGCTCCGTCATCCTACGACTCTCCGGTACTCCAAATTACCTGAAAGAATATTAAAAAAGAGCAACAACAATAGCGTCAGAGTGCTATAGTATGATCACCTACATCCTCCCCTAGGGGAGGGGCTGCTAGATGGAGTGGAGGCTCTATCTATTAAGCATAGTCTACCTAGACCATTTTCCCTCGTATCTAATAGAATTAATATTTAGACACCTACAATACGAGACGTAATCTGTCGAGCGAAATAATCCAAACAAGGAAACACTCATGTATATACCATATGTCCTAAATTGTAAACATCTAAACATTAATACCAAACTAAAGATAAACAATCTAAATGAAATCAACAATTAGAAATCCACAACACGATACTGGTACGTCGAGCGGAATAATTCAAACAAGGAAACCCTCATGTATATACCATATGTCTCAAATTGTGAATCGCTTATTGATCCCAACTAAAAAATAAAAAAAGCAGTAAAAGAAAGTAAAGACATTAACATATCATATTCATAATATTTTCCACTATCACAGGAAAGATAGAATGAATACCGACACAAATCTTGTGTACTTTCAAATGCAAAGTACTATGGGTCATATATTTTAACAGTGAGTCAAAAACATAACTAGCATCCGCTAACAACTCGGGCTATCATTTAACTATCTCAATGCAATTTCGTGCAAGATTTTAATTCATCATATCATCATGCGGGACAAACTACCCAGTCGGTATCCTACAGTGTACACGGATCATTAGTCTTATCGCATCTCTGTACGTAACACGAGTGCGGGACGAACAACCAAGTAGACATTCTAGAAATACGGCTCACAAGCCTTATTGCACCCTAGTGCGGGACGGACTGCTAGATAAAGCATCCTAAACCCAAGTCAATGGCCTGTAAAAATAGAATATCAACGTACTACCCTCGTAGTACTGAACTGAGCTCATCAACGATATCCAGAAGGTGTGTGTATAATATGTACTAAACTCTTTCTCAAAGTAATCGGGTCAAATCCCATCATAATTCCTTTCAGCATACCCATGTATGTGCTACTACACTATTC